CCAGCAGCCACAGTGAGCGGCCGTCCAGAAGCCGGCGACTGATCTGCCTCGCCCGGGAAGAGCGCAATGATGGTGCCAACTTGGGCCAGTGAAGCAACGACCTCCACAACTAGACCGAAGAACAAAAAAACAGCAACTTGTCTGTTCCCCTTCCCCCAATTCCCCAGCGCTGTTCCCATCCCCCCAATTCCCCAATAAAAATCTTAAAAAAAAAAAAAAAGAATTATCAAGCCCAACGTGGCTATAGTGCTGGGGTTGAGAAACCTTGATTTAAATCACGAGCCATTCTTTTCACACTGAAACCGACATCCAGCTGCCAGGGTCGAATGAATTGCTATTAGAAGTTTATTGAACATGTTAGATATGCTGGGCACCATCACAGCTGTAGCCAAGCAGAGCTTTGCTTTGCTGTGAACCAAAGTTCAGAGAGAAGCCAATAGGGAGAAGAGACTCAAAATACCTCTTTCTGGCATCAGATATACTTAAATTCCAAAAAATTTCTTTCTTGACAGGCTACTGCATCCTGGAATGTGCTATATAAGACTTTCATCCTGAAAGCCACTGACCATGTAATATATATTTCTTATAGTTAGATTATCAGAAGGGTTTATTAAATTTTTTTTAAATCTCTCTTGAATACTCATTTGAGAAAGAACATAGAATGTCCAAATTAGATGTAGAAACAAACTATTACTGGAGAACAACAACCCAGAAATAAAAAGATGAAATCCTGCATATGAAATCATTGGGGGGGGGGAATGACAGCTCTGAATGATGGGTATGAATTTTCCAAATACCACGAAAATCTGATGACAGAGGAAGATGTTGCAACTTGAAATTCATATCCAAGGAAACTGCTGGACTAAGCTTGCAAAAACAAATAATATCAACAAAGCAATCAACATTTATATTATTAACTTATTCTTTAAAAAGCATATTAACCTTTTTTCTTTGATCCCTTTGTGAATTTGCATGCATAATTTAGCTATGGAGTCAGATTTTTCTGCTTGTTTATATCATTGTGCTTTAATGTGTGAGAAATATTTTAAATTTTGGGGTTCTGGTTTTAGAACCAAAACCTGCCCATCCTGAGATCCTGGGCAGCTGCATGATGTGGCAGCACCAGCTCAGGCTTCTTAGCAGACAGATTTGGGTTCAAATCCAGGTTCTACAGCTGTAGCTAAATTACCTTAGAAAGTTTTGTGAAGGCTTCAGTGTCCCCATTGTACAATGGCATAAAAATATCTTCCAATCAGGGTTCCTCACAAGAATAAATGATTTGGCAACATGGAAAAGGCTTGAAAAAGAGTGGGTTCTCACAGGAGCTGAAACGTATATCCACACAAAACCTGGACTTGGACGTTTATAGCAGCTTTATTCATAAT